GTCCGTCGCCGTGGAGCTCGAAGCGGACGTCATACGAGGCGTTGTGGAGCGAGCACTCCAGAATCTCCAAGTATCCATCGGCACTCGGGATTATCGTCATGTTGTCCGAGAGGTACAGCGTGTGGTAGACCTTTGCCGCATCCTTGGAAATCAGATCCAGGCCCAGGTTGGGGTCCGTGGCGCTCTCCGAGGCGACAATGTTGTTGAAAAACGTCCCATTCATGTCCGGGCCAAAGGTCTCGAAAGGGTAGAAGGCTGTCCAGAAGAGGAAGTCGCCCGTCTCGTTGATCGACTCTTCCATGGCGGTGGTGATGAAGGAGCGTGTCTCGTTATTCGGCGCGACACATTGCACCGCAGGGCCGTAGAAGCTTTGGGTGTACGAGAGGTTCTGGTTCGAGGAGCCCCCCGAAACCGTCAAAAGACTGGCCTCGACGAGACTGAGCTGCGACAGATAGTTCAACATGGTAGAAACGCCGGGGAATCGCCACGAGCCGTCGTCCAACTTATTGAGTCGGTTGGCCAAAAAAGCATCCCGTTGAGCGACGTTGATTCTTACGGCACTGCTGTGCATTTTGGGTCCCACTGAAATGGTCGCAGGCGTAAAAATCGCAGACAACGGTATGAGCCTTGAAAGAGCGGAGAGTTAGATATCGAGGTGGTAAAGTACTCCAAGGATGAAAGGAGTTCATCCTTACCAAGTAGTGGCGGCAGTCAGAGTCAGAACAGGATGGCCGAACCAGAAGCGCAGGTTGAGGAGCTCGAATGGATTCCCCAGGACGCCAAAGAGCGAGTCCATGGACCGCACGTCGACAGAGTGAAGCCTCAACGTGCACCAGAGACATTGCGTGAAGGCGATGGATGAGGAGATGGCCAGGAGCACCTTCACCAAAAATGCCAGGACAAGCCCAGCCGAAGTGACCACCTGCTGCTCAACGTCGAATGTGATGGCGCGCCCGTCGACGCACAAGTACAAGACATGGTGTGACACTGCGCCGATGAGAGCAGTGATGAACGACGCGACCATCAGTGTCGGCGCTCTCCAGTGGATGCGTCGTGTGCGGGCAGGGCGCATCTTCACCAGGGAGGCATCGGATGGCAGGACTTCGGTGTCAGTCTGGTTGACGTGCAGGGAGTCTTGATACGTCCATGCCATTGCTGGAGAGACGTGGAGCGCAACCAACTGCGACGAGATTAGGTACAGGATATCTGATGAGAGGCAGCTCGCTCCATTGCAAGTTAAGTAAAAACTCTGTCGCCATGTTTATTGCTCGTTGTGTACAGTTCAAAGGAGGGGGCGATATCAGGTCGGTGCGCTGGTTAAGGCAGCCCATTTAAGATAGTCGTCAGTGACTCAGTACCATATAGGCAGACAAGGTCGAGGGCCTTGGTTTCAGATGCCAGGAGTGGTGGGAGGTCATGTATCATGATTTGTTAATGACCAGGATAGCCGCGGTCACTGAACAGGTGAAGTTGGTGCTAACCAGGTTTGCAACGGCCAGAGGGGCCCAGGAATAGCAACAAGGCAGCTGGCCTTAAGGCCCTCTGCGTGAAGAAGGGAATATGTCGTCGAATATGGCCATGGCGATTTACGCGAGTGGAAGTTGAAACACGGACATGTCTGGCGCTTAATTGGGGGGGTTCAGCCTTGTGGTCTTCTACCCGGACAAGGTCGGCTCAGCCTTGTCGGAGAAGTCGATTCTGATTGGTCTCTCGGCAAGGCTACCAAGCCCTCCGCTATCGGAGCGGATAAATTGCCGAGCATCTGTATATGAACTCCACCAAATGCTGTTTACCCAAGGATAACGACTCGTCTGTGTGTGGAGAAGTCGAAGGTCTTTGGGGATCTCCAACTTCATCCTTCTCTCCTCCTTTGCTGTATCATCGCGCTGTCGTTTGACCTGAGGAGAACGTCTGTGGTAGAAAAACCCAACGCTTGAGCCGATGTCCTGGTGGAAATCCCCAACCGTCTGGAACAGTTTCCGCGGAGTTTCCAAAGCGGTTGTGAGATCCAAGCACCAGAGCCACTTCAGCATAGGAGGATTGGCATCAGTCCGTGATTGTTCCATCCCTCGACCCAGTTTCAACGCCCAATTTCGTTGCCAGCTATCAAGCATGGCGGCCCCGGCCTCCAACTCTGCGCAGACATTCCGCGTTCTCGTCCTCCCCGGCGACCATGTCGGGCCTGAGATCATGGATGAAGCCTTGCGAGTTCTGGACACTGTCGAAATCGCCTCCCAGGGCCGGCTCAAGTTCGAATTCAACCACCAGATATGCGGCGGATGCAGTATCGACAAGCACGGGACGCCTATTACGGATGAGGTGCTGAGGATTGCAAAGGAAGAGAGCGATGCCGTGTTGTTTGGGAGTGTGGGCGGACCTGAATGGTAAGTCTTATTCCCCTTTTAATGTCAGCTTTTCGTCGCTGGTTGCGTTTCATTGCTTGGAAACTGAACGCCTGATAATGACATTCCGTAAAGGGGAACGGCCTGGCCAAACCCGGAATCCGGTCTCCTGCGTCTCCGCCAGCACCTCGACACTTTCGCCAATATTCGCCCCTGTACATTCTACTCCCGCTCGTTGCTGTCACTATCCCCTCTGAAAACTTCTATCGCCGAGGGCACGAATTTCATCGTCTTGCGCGAGAACTGCAGCGGTGCCTACTTCGGTACCAAGGTCGAAGAAGCCGACTTTGCCAGTGACTCGTGGGCGTATCGACGGGACGAAGTCGAACGATGCGCACGGGTTGCTGCTGCCCTGGCTACGACCATGGGCAAGGACGGCAAAGGCAACGGAGGGCCCGCGACCGTGTGGTCCAGCGACAAGGCCAACGTGCTTGCATCGGGCCGCCTGTGGCGCAAAGTCACCTCGGAGGTCTTCGCCAAGGAGTTCCCTAACGTCGAGCTGAAGCACCAATTGGCCGACAGCTTGTCGATGCTGATGGTTCGCAACCCGAAGATGTTCAACGGCATCATCCTCACGGACAACACCTTTGGCGACATGCTGTCTGATCAGGCCGGCGGCGTGGTCGGCACCCTGGGCGTCTTACCCAGTGCCAGTCTCTCTGGCATTCCAGACGGAAAGACTCGATGCAACGGCATCTACGAACCCGTGCACGGATCGGCGCCAGACATTGCTGGAAAGGGCATCGCGAACCCCGTTGCTCAAATCCTTTCGGCGGCCTTGATGTTGCGGTATTCGTTCAACCTCACCGCTGAAGCCGCGGCCATCGAAGCTGCAGTGGCCAAAGTTCTCGACAGCAAGGACATTGGTGGCTTGGAGATCCGAAGCGGCGATCTGGGCGGAAAGGCAAAGACCAAGGAGATCGGTGATGCCGTGTGCAGGGTTCTCGAAGAGCTCCTGGTGAAGCCGCAGAGCTCGTAATGGCCGATGCCATTGGAAGTCGTGATACCGCGAATTGGGGAATGGCGGCTGGGCAGACAACCACCATTTCGGACAAATGAAGGGCAACAACCAAAAGAAAACGGAGAAGGAGGTTGGAGAAAGAGAGTGTTTATACAACTTCAAAGATATTTCGCCTTGCGATGCTGGAGCTCAAAATTAGGGGGCCAAAAAAGAGTGATTGTCTGTCCATCTCGTGGCCAGCACAAGGCTGCTCCACCCACAGAAGCGACTCGAAGTGTTCCATGCGTTTATGCGTCGAAGAGTTCACTTACTTGGACGCTTTCTTAGAGGACATTAGACAAGACGATATACTTATTCTCACCACGCATGCCATGTAAGGAGCGTAAGATGTGCAGATACCTCCAGCATATCAGCACGTACATGAGACTCTGCAGTGTAGCCTTGTCCGCACGTTGGAGTAACTAGGGGGGAGGTACTTCTGTCAAGGCATTTAGACAGCCTGGACGAACGAACCCATTCCCGAAACGGCACCTGTTTTTCAAAGCGTCAACATTAGCACCCACTAAACCGACCAGCCACTATCCCACAACATGGAGCTAATGAGATTATCTATCGATGCCACTGACCAAAACCTGGCGCCATGGGTAGGTGGCCACGTAGTCAAGACTTTTCAAGAGTCCATTAGTCCGCCTTGTGTCGGGTCTAATGAGGTCCAATGCTGAACTAGTAGAACACTAGTTCAGGTTGAAGTCGTGGTATTCGTCCCTCCCTCCGGTAGGGTAGGTTGGGAAATAAGCAAGGAGTAGATACCGACATTGTGAATATGGTACATACCTTAAGGGATATCTATCCGGAGTACTTGATACTGTATATGCCGCATCAAGCGTGTACACTGTCGACGTTGGGCCCAGACATCGACCCAAAGCCTTCGCACTCTTGGGATTTGCTAGTCTTGCTGTGGAGGCAGCATCGAGGCGCCCAGGTTCAAATGCCTTTGCGGGAACAAGGGCAAGGACAAGGACTGGATCTCGTACCAAGATGAAGATTCCGTGGACTTCATCGATCGTTTTGAACGGGAGCTAATCGACACCGAGAAGACGAATCTCACAGCTGACCTACCAGCAGCTCTGCATCATAAAATGACCGTTCGATCGAGAAGATCACAACAGCGAATAAAGAAACAGCAGCAGTCACTCGATCAAGATCTTTCGGACGTGGACAAGAAAAAGTAGAACTGAAGCCGAGATCGAGCCGAGACTTAGCTGGCCACATATCATGAGCATGAGCAGAAGCAGTGCCAGGTAATGAGGGAGGCTGCCGTGCCATAGCTTTGGACTGGCAGCAGCGTGGTCATTGGGCGGACGAGATATGGCATCGAAGCGGATCAGAAAGACTGCTGGGACTGCAACCTCCGCAATTCTTCACTGAAGGCTCAGTAGAGTACCAGCAACGGAAAAACCATACAGAAGCGTTGATAAGAGCAGGGTATTTTGGGCATCTCCTTTCGTTGGTAGCGGACTATCTCGACATGACAACCCTGGCGTCTGTCGAGTTGTGTGTATCATTACTCATCACAGGTATGTGTCGTATTCGCTGATCAGCCATGAAAATATCTGCAATGCAACGCCATGCCAGCCTCAGAATTGATCTATCACCAAGTCAGTGTCCACAGTAACTTGCCCTCAAAGGTCTTCAAAACTCACCCAGCGTCATGCTCATACTGACATCCGTGCTCTCAACCATTTGTGTGAACTCGGAAAAGCTGATCTTGCCGTCACCATCTTTATCCGCCTCCATGATTGTCTTGTCCACAATCTGCTGCAGTTGTTGATCCTTCAGGTTCGAGCCAACCATCATCTTGAGCACAATGAACAACTCTCCATTGGAGATGTATCCGTCCCGGTCAATGTCGTAGACCTTGAAGGCAAACTTCAGCTTTTCTTCTTTGTTGCCCTTGGAGGAGAAGGCAGAAAGGCCAAGCACGAATTCTTGGAAGTCGACGTCGCCGCCTCCATCTTCGTCGAAGATGGCTATCATTCTGGAGAGAGATTAGCTAGAACCACCCGGGAAGGAGGACAGGTCCCTATACCTTGTCGCTAAAGGGTTCGAGGACACTTGAGGTAGAGAAAGGAACTCTTCGCGTTCAATAGTGCCGCTATTGTCCTAGAGTGGCCCCATGTCAATTTCACCCAACAATATACACTGAAGATATCGATCTCACCTTATCCAGCTTCATGAACCGTTTTCGCAACCTGTCCACCTCATCGCGATCGACTATTGGAGAGGCAGTTGTTAGCACGTGCTGGGTTATTCTCCCTCGTGCGAGAGCCCCACGACCGCTTTGCAATCTAATGGAGACTGCGACGTACAATTTGAGAAGGAGACAATATTGTCGAGGATCTGAGAGCCAGTGACTTGCTGCCGTCTTCGAGCATCGTATAGAGCGGCATTGTTGGGTTCTGCAACGGTGGAGGCTTGGGCGCCGAATGCTGGCGTAGCCATGGAGGGCGATTGAGGGGTGTGACAATCGCAGTTGGAGTCGTAGGTGTTGTCGCGCTTGAGGGAGGAGGTAAGGGGTTCTGAGGGCTCTATCGGAGGACTCGTCTAGGTGCGTGAAGGTCGAAAGTAGGAAATCGAGTTGAGAGTGTGAGAAGGCTAGTTTGAGAGCTGAAAAAGAGTCTCAAAATTACGGAGTGCCAGGCGAGTTTCAAAGATGTGATGCACATGGGGGCGGCTCTCGCTTCTCGAGGTACCTATTAAACGGTGCCCGATTCGCCCAATCGAGTGAAGCAGCTGAGAGTCACGTGCATGTTGACTTGAACGGGGTTAGCCCAGAGTGCCACAAGTGGCTTGAGATTAATGTGGCTGACTGCAGGGCAAATTTCTTTCCTTCCACAACAGGTTGTGGTATGTTGACTACAGGTGAATTATGAGGTCTGTGAGTGAATGGACTTCAGCGAGGATGACGTTTAGGTAGTAGGTACTTGAAGTCTTAGAGTCACCCATCACGCATGACCTTACCTACATATGATGTAAGATATCTTATTGGGAGCGAGATAGAATGTGATATACGGGATATAATGTGCCTTCATCCCGTCCGGGGTGTTACAGTAGAAATGGGCGCTGAAGATGGTCGGTCACTGCCAGAATGAGCGCCCGAATAATTTGGCCAGTGTGGTGGTGCTTGGTGTTTGCTTGGTGGTGCTGTCATAGTACTGGGCCCGAGGCCCCCCTATGAATGCCCAAAGTTACTAGCTTCTAGGCTACCACCACCACTACCACCTGAACAACTTCCCGCACCTTGACCCCCCCTTTCTCACTTCCCAACTGGTGGGTGTCCCGCAACTGGTGGCAGCGCAGCAGCAAAGCTGATCCCCCGTCACTCTGCCCTTGGAGTTTTCACCCTCTTTTTCCCACTGCTTCACCTCCAACTGCACCACCACAACTCCAGCACCCTGCCTGCCATCAAAAGTCATCCACCATCGTCGACCTAATTTTGTCCTTTTCATCATTTTGAAAACGGACTAATAGTCAGAGTGCATCAAATTACTAGTGATGCAAAATTGAGGAATTATCGACCCCGTTTTGCTACTTTTTCACCGTGGTCGTTGACATTGTTGTGGTGCGTGTTGGCGGGTGTGGTTTCACTCCTCCCTCCATGAGGGAGTCACCACTCTGACTCTGAAAAAAATCCTCATGTCCACCACCCGCGGCCGCGCCACCCGCCCAAAGAAACTCAACTCCAAGCAAAATGTCCAGATTTTCCGCGAGGATCAAGTTGATCCTCTTTCCGACTACGATACCCAACGTGCTGCAATAGAAACCGGCGTTGAAAAAGCCGAGGAATCAGTATGTCTTCTCTCGTCCTCGTCACCTCTTCTTCCACCCGTTCTTCTTGTCGCTGTGTCCTCTTCTCCCTGGCTTAGTCATCACATCTTGGCACAACACTCACAGCTTTACAGGAATACCATCTTCAACAAGCCATCAAAGCATCTGAAATCGCCAAAGCTGATGCCAAAATCAAAGATGCTTACATCCCAACTCCACCTACCATCGCCAGTGATGTCCAATATGACGTCCTCTACCCAAGAGGGTTTCAACAACCCGCCACCTATATACGCTCCTCCGCCACAGTCGAAGACTGTGCAGGAGTCGCGTATTGCATGGATGAGGAAGACGAACTTGCCTTGAAATTGATCAACGGTAAATTGCCTGCTGGACAGGAGCCGTGCACCGAGGACCAGTTTGAAGTGGTCATGAATTTTTTCGAGGAAACCGCACAGGCAAAACAACCTTTTGCTGCCGTCGATAGTCCCCCCGTCTTACCTTTAGAAGAACTCGAGGAGCAAATCGATGATACCATCCCTCCTTTTGTCCGCAACCTTTCCAGGTTCATATATGAGCACTGGAAATCACGGCGCTCGGCGACTGGTAATCGTCCATTAGCCCCTCGGCTCAAGTTCGAGACTGGTCAGGAGTCCGACGACAGCGATCCATATGTATGCTTTAGACGGCGTGAACTGCGACAAATTCGGAAGACCAGAAATCGTGATGCGCAGAGTGCTGAGAAGCTGCGAAAACTCCGTATGGAGCTAGAGACAGCGAGAAACATGCTGCTGATGGTCAAGCGAAGAGAGCAGCTTCGCAAAGAATCTCTTGAGGTCGACCAACTGGTCTTCGAGCAGCGGCAGGCACTCCGTGACACAAAGAGGAAATTGGGTATGAAAGGCGATGATGACCTCCTCATCAATCAAAAGGTAAAGCGACCCCGTTCGACAAGAATGGACTTAAACTCACCTCCTCTCCAGAAGCAAAAAATACCCCCAGGCATGACGCCCAATCAAGCCGCCCTCGCCCAGCAGCTCAGAATGCCCATGGCTTCTGGTCCTGGTCCCGAACTGCGCACGCTGGAAGAAGTTGCCAATGCTCGGGAACGTGAAGTGCAAAAGGAGATTCAAACCAACGTTGAGAAACACATCAGATGGAACGAGGGTTTCGTCGACAAGACCATGGCACCTCTTACCCCTGAGCTTGAAGACGATTATCCTTCGCCTGGCGAACATTTCCGTGAGGCAATGGCTGCGACTGAATATTTGCCAACACCGCCAGCTAGTATCTCGGATGAAGAGTCACAGGAATTGCCGAATGGGACCGACGTGGTGATGAAAGACGTATCCCGAGCATCAACACCTTTTCGATATGCCAGTCCCGCGGATGAAGATTCTGTCGGACATATGCCTTCCTTCAGACGGAGGATAGGTCGTGGCGGCCGCATCATAATTGATCGAAGGCTCCCTCGAGTGCGACGAGACTTCACGGCAGATGATTGGTCCAAAGACGATCGGTTCAAATTTGACTCGGACGACGACGATTTCTCTGACACCGATCCCACTGTACCTGACTTAACTTTTGCTCGCATGTCCCAGCGAGCGTATCTGATCGGCGCGAGCCGACCTACCGATGCACAATTAATAGCGGCAAGGAGATCACAGTCTGAGGCCGGAGGCCCAAGTCACTCCTCTCCAGCAGGACAGCATGCACAAGCCACACCTGCACCTTCTTGACATGTCATGATTATTTTGGATAACATCTTTTCCCTTCTCACTGTCTCAGAGAGTACAATTCACAAGACTCTCTTCTCAGCGTTCGGACGATTCCGGGCTGTTGTTGAGATCCCAGTGGCAACAGAATCGCCCTCGTTGGTGGAATTGTACAATGACGCATCAAGTTCCATGGGGCTCATGAGCTTCCTTGGCGGCGAGGTTGAGCCGACAGGGTCATCTGAAGGATGATAGAACTGTACATAGTACCGAGGCCAGCGCCTTCGCAGATGAAAATGATGATAACATCGTAAAATATGTTGTTTGGAAAACCGAGAGTCGTGCGTTGCTCAAGCCTATCACTCCGATGGCATATTGTGGTCTTGAATCGCAGCCGGGTTGAGGCAGAATGCTTCGACTGCTGCTGTCGAGTTTTAGCTGCGTGTTTTGCCTTTCCGCGCTGCTTTTTTGGGGTTTTTGTCCGAGTCATCGTTGATTTGCCGTTTGGCAGGCCTTGCCGTGATCTCTTGGTTCATTTGTGCAAGATGGGCTTGACACAATCCAATGAGCCGGCGGAATATCTCCTTTTCTCCGACTCTGACTTGCAGCGCCATGGCGAATCGATGCTTGTTACAACCAGAAGGAATAAGTGTTGGGTCTGGTTCGGAACGAGCCAGCGCATCCAAAAGAGATCGGTCGGCATCCAGAGAAGTATCGTATTCTGCCAGCCTCTTTGTGAGAACAGACTGTAGTAGCGTAGCCTCGTTGATGGTGATGGGATCTTTGTGAGTCGTCTTGGCGGAGTCGAAACACATAGCGCGCAAAAGTAATTGTAGTGGTCCCGGTATGGCCTGCGCAAGCTCTTCTACCTCCGGTGGAGGTCTAGGTATGGCATAGCCATCATCGATACAACCAACTGATTCGAGTTGTTCCGCTCGTTCCAACCATGCCGCATACCTCGCGCAAGCTGTCGTGGAATCCTTCATGCAATGCTTCACGCAATGCTTCTTGCGTGCTTCTTCAAGAAGAAGGTCATGGGATATCTCGACAACATCATATTGAGCATAATTGTCGGTGATGTAACCGTACATGCGGAGGAGATCTGAGCGTGGGAGCGGGCCATAGTCGTTGAAGATCTGTTCGTTGACTTTGATCCGCTTGGTAGATCTCATGATCAGGTAGTCATTTTCTTGAAAAAGTCGTGCCTGCATTCAAACGTAACAGTCAGTCATTAAACAAAGCAAACGGGTAAAATAAGATTACACACGTTGTTTCTGTCAGCATCTGCGTTGAGCATGTCAGCGAAAGGCACCATCCCTTTGAGTGGCTCGTCGTCGTCGTCGTCGTCGTCGACCTCCATTTCGTCCTCCGAACCATTGTTCGCATCATCTCTGTCATCATCCTTGTCAATGTCAAAAGCATAAGCCATAATAGAGCTTCCTGCCATATGAGCAAGTCTGATCAATTCTTTTGTGCGGTCTGCGTCACTGTGACCAGCAACAGGAAACAGATCAGGATGTGAGAGCATAACCGGCAACATTTCCTCTTTCCAAGACTCCTCAGCGTGGTCCTTCCTGATCTTATCAACCACAGCACTGGCTTGCAACGTTTTGAGCTCTGCATCGGTCCAGAACATGAGACTGTCGAACTTTGTAGGAAGGACTTGGAAATAGGCGTGCCATGGTGACTTTTCGTCTCGCAGGTATTCGTAGATCAAAGTGACAATCAACAGCACCCACTGCCCGGATTCGCTGAGAGGTTCGAGTACCGCAGGTGGAATGCTTGAGGTCGTGGCTGTGAGGACGAGAGACCGAGGAACAGCGAATAATTCCTCATCCTCCTCGATATCCTTGACAGCAACTGGAGAGAGAAGTCAGTTGTTTGCTTTCAGACGAAAATTGGGCACATCAGACCAGCTCCCCTTCCCGCATTCTCGCTCCTCAGATCCTTGAGCTGGACCTT